TGTATGGGGTTTCCAAGGTTATAAATCATTGCGGAGCAGCTGGTGGGCTCAAACTGCTGATCTTGTAGTTCGCAGTCCAGTGTTTATTGTATGGAGCCACCGTGTTCATAGCAGAGTGCAAGTACCCACTTGAACTGTTGTAGCACTGTTGTTTGTCTACATGGTGCTTCTGACACTTGGGGTGAGAAAACAACATGAATTTTTAGGGCGTCTGCAACAGAATTGTTGCTTAAAAACACTTTGCTCAAGTGCTTCTTAAGCTCTGAAATAGCACAAATTGCTTCCCCCATTTGTCTCATACAGAGTGCTGGTATGGACTTAGGGGATTTTTAAAAGTGGCCACACCAAAAACATCCAGCGTTATAGTATGAGAATATTGCAATATTGGGAGTAGTGGGAGTACCACCTCATGCTATTTGTGAATATCTGTTTTGATGGTTTGTGTACTTGAGTCAGTGTGAAGCAAAACTTTTTAGAGAATAGTCTAATGAATAATTGAAAGACTGATCTGTTAGGATAAGACTGGAATAATTTATTGACCCTATTTGAAATTCTAGCTTGTGAGATTTCTAAGTAGTTAAAGAATGGATTGATCATTAGGTTGAATTGGCAAGGCATAAGCAATTTGCAAAGTTTTCTTGCAGATGTTTTTTCCAAATGTGAGTTTGAAGTCAAGGCACTTGCTGTTGTAGAGTGACTTGGCAGTGAGAACTGGAGCAGCAGCAGCTGTTGGGTGGCTCTGCTGAGTTGGAAGGAGATCCACTGCCATTTCTTCTGTCTTGCTTGTTTGGCTTAATTTCCCAAGTGGACACAATGCTCTGAGCATTCTGGTTTGCCACCTGGAAGCTGTGGAACTCTTTGCAAAAGTTCCATTAGTGTCAAAAGAAAGTCATATGTTTAGTTGATCATTTGAGTCACTTGGCATCACCCCCACCTTCCATGTCCCCTATCCTTAAATCTCCCCTTCACATCTATCCCAAGGCACCTAAATCATTTGGTAAAGAGACTTGCAGCCAAATGTAGTTAATTTTGATTTAGTTTAATTTCAGCTAGTCAGAATATTTATTTATAAGAGCATGGGGGGCTGGGAAAGAAATGAGAGAAACCTGTTATTTCCAAAGGTGACTTTTAAGGTGGTTCATTGAAAGTGGTGGTATTACCTCACTGAAGTTTGTTCCTTAGATACTTCTCTAAGTAGACTTCCTTGATGTTAAGTCTGCATCTCAGTTGTAAGGAAAAGAAAATTGATTTTTTAAAAGGTTTCTATACATATTTCTTTTATAATACAAGTTTTTAAATTTAGCATAATAATTAAATATTGAAAAATTTGATCCTTCACAACCAGTCCGTGCATTTTGTATTGCACCTATTCTGTTGTTGTTGTTAATGTTAAGTGCCATCGAGTTGGTTCTGACCCATAGCGACCCTGTATAGTGTTTCCAAGGGGCGGCTGGTGAGCTTGAACCACCAATTTGTGGTTCTAGCTGACATTACAGTCCAGCGCATTAACCCACCCACAATACCACACCAGGACTCCATTGTACCTATTGTTGTTGTTATGTGCTGTGGAGTCGGTTCTGATACATAGCGACCCTGCACAGGGTTTCTGAGGCTGTAAATCTTTACGGGAGCAGAAAGCCTCATGTTTCTCCCACGGAGCAGCTGGTAGTTTCAAACTGCTGACCATGCGGTTTACAGCCCGATTCGTCATCTATAGTACTCTATTTATTGTTGTTGTTATGTGCCGTGGAGTCGATTCTGACTCACAGTGACTCTGTAAAAGGTTTCCAAGGCTGTAAATCTTTATGGGAGCAGAAAGCCTCATCTTTCGCCCTTGGAACAGCTGATGGTTTCGAACTTCTGACCCTGAGGTTAGCAGCCTGATCCGTAAGCACTACACTACCAAAGATTTATTTTATTGCCAATTTTAGAGAGCCTATATGAGATATTAGATAGTCTTGGTGCTATGCAGTCAATTACGACTCATAGTGACCCTGCACAGGGTTTCCGGCTGTAAATCTTTACGGGAGCAGAAAGCCTCATCTTTCTCCGACGGAACAGCTGATAGTTTCGAACTGCTGACCTTAAGGTTTGCAGTCTGATTTGTAACCATTGCACTACCAGAGCTCCTTTCTTAGAGAGTTTTTAATCATATTATGCTCATGAGCTTATATTTATCCATTATAGTTCCCAATCGAAATATTTATGGCATGATTACATAATATACCTTGCATAGTATTCGATGAGAATCTTCTTTATTACCTCAGGGAAAATCTGTGAAGAAATTTTCTAAGACTACAATAAGTCTTTATGTTATCATAATTGTTAAATTTTTTTTGAACAATTTTTAATTTAAGTAGACTCTTTTTTAGAGATGGGGAAAACACATCAATATCTCCAGCATCATTTATCTTTTATTAAATATAACAGAATCCGGAATGGTTTAAACTTGCCTTCTCACACCAACTGCTCCTTGGAAAGCCTATGCAGGGTCGCTATGGGTCAGAATCGACTCGATGACACTTAACAACAAGGACTCACCTGTGTAAATTTTCAGTTGTTTTTTTCCTTCTGACTTAGTTGAGAACTTGCTCTTTTAGTTTAGGGATGTTACTTTGAAAGTAAAGCATGAGCTGAATTATGCTTGGTAAAAAAATTTGTTTTTTTTTACACTTATAATTCTGAATTTTATGATGGTTTACAGACACCATCAGCTTTACATTGTTTTCATCTCAGTGATTACAATCCCCTCCCTGCCTGCAACATTTATCTTAATTCCTCTCTGTGACTTCCCATTTACATCTTATATTTCACAAATGAGTAAGGCAAAACTATTTGATGCACATCTTACAAAACAGGAAATATATATTCATTTAAATGTCTAAAGGGCACATTCTGCCTGCCAGCCTCCTGCTTGCAGGCACACAACTTTGTCACTTTATGGGGCTAGAGCCTGCAACTGCTCTGTCTCTTCATGGCACCGCCTCTGCCACCATCTCTGCTGATGTTGCTTTAATAGATAGGAATCTCATGATCCACTGATGCTCTTCCTTCTTGATGGCCCTGGGATTGTTCCTGAAATATTCTTGAAATGACAGATTAAGAACGCCCTCCTTTTAGTTACATATCTTCTATAATTACAGTTGTGACACTCATAGGTTAAATTTTTAATGTGTGGATTCGGCACACAAAAATTTTTTGAACCTGTTATGGACTGAATTGTGTCCCACAAAATATTTATAAATCCGAATCTCTGTACTTGTAGATAAAGAGCCCTGGTGGCACAGTGGTTAAAGTGAACTGAAAGATCAGTGGTTTGAACCCACCAGTCACTCCTTCAGAGAAAAATATGTCAATTGCTTCTGTAAAGTTGTATAGCTTTGGAAACTGTGTAGGGCAGTTCTACTCTGTTCTATGGAGTCCTTGTGAGTCGGAGTAGACTCGAAGACATACAACAAAAACAACAGGATACTTGTAAATATAATACCATTTGGGAATAGAATGTTCTTTGTTGTAAGGCTTTATCACTGTTGCTTGTTTTATGCCAATCAGTGCAGATTAGGCACAAAAGCAAGCAAGCAGGAATAGGAGAAAGATAGATGCCACGTGTAGATTTCCCAGGAATGCCAAAAAGAATTCTAGAGAAAATAAGACAAGGGTTTCCCCAGAGCAGCTATAACACCCAGAATTCTCGCCTCCGAAATGTGAAGAGTCCTAGTATGGCTCTATAAGATAGGCTCTGGACTGCTAATCACAAGGTCAGTTGTTCATATCCACCAGCAGCTCCTTGGAAACCCTATACAGGATCACTATGAGTCAGAACTGACAGCACTTGTGACCAACAACAAATGTGAGAGAATCAACTTCTGCTTCTTAGAGGTTTTTCTGTTACAGCACCTCTAGATAGTTATGAAAGAACCCGTTGTATTATTTCCTTTTAGAATGTCCCGCATAGAAAAGGAGACAGGAAAAAAAGCAACATGTACTTAGTGCAAAGGATAATTATAATATTTATTGAGTGTTGTCTTTAACAGTGTCACTATGAGTTGGAACTGACTCGATGGTACTTTATAACAATTCTTGAATATTCACATTCTGGTGTGGCATTGAAGGATAATTACTGGACTGCAGAGTCTATTAGAACCCTAAAATGGCAGTTCAAAGCCACCAGATACTTCTCAGAAACCCTATACAGGGTCACTATGAGTCAGAACCGACTCAACGACACTTAACAATATTATTGAATATGGAAGATACTATTTTAAGTACTTCTTGTTTGTATTGATGTATTTAATTTTTTTCACTGTGCTCTTAGGAGCAGGTACTCTTTTTAACTTCAGTGAGTAATAAACTATACTGAGCTGCAGAGAATTTAAGTAACTTACCCAAGGTCAGGTAGGTAGTAAGTGGCACAACTGGGATAGAAACCCAGGCAGGCTTAACTTAGAGTCTACTGTGTTAGACTGTTACTTAAAGAAGGTAGTGTGCAATTATTAAAATTGGTCATTTTAATATCTCTGAGATTTCTGTTGAGTTGACCAACTGTGTATTTTTCTTCACCAATTCTTGTCGCACTCTGCCTTTAGAATTGTCAGTACTAGTTCTTACTGTTTCGTTGTTGAGTGCTGTCGAATTGTTGTTAAAGTGTCGTCGAGTTGGTTCCAACCCATAGCAACCCTGTATGGGGTTTCCGAGGAGCGGCTGGTGAGTTTGAACCACCAAGCCTACAGTTCAAACCAACCTTGTGGCCCATTGCTTTATCTCACAGTGCCACATCAGGATTCCTCTAACTGTTTAAGGCTAACCAATGTGCTGTGAAACACATTGTTACAGGGATTTTAGTTGCTTAGCTAATTACTTCACAGCTCACTGGGGGCTTAGGCTTGGTAATACAGACATGCATTTTCTTATGTAGAATTCCCTCTGTTTTTAGGAATATAAAATTTCCTGTAATGACCTGTATGAATTTACTTCTACCCTGAAATTTTCTCTTTGCTTAGCATGTTCCGCCAAGGGATGCATGACTTGAAAGTCTGGCCTAATGTAGAAGCAGATGGATCAGAACCCACAAAAACTCCTGGCAGAACAAGCAGTACTCTCTCAGAAGACCAGATGAGTCGTCTTGCCAAGGTAAAAAAGAAACTTTGCAACAGGTGGAAAGCTCTGAGTAGTATCTATTATAACATAGAATGGAATTAAAAATTCAGTCAGACATTTTTAAAAATTAAATTTTAGTTTAATTTTATAACAACTTTATTGAATATTATTTTCATATTTCAAATTCTCTCTTTTAAAATATACAGTGTTGTGGTCTGCAGTAATGCAGATTTGTGCAAACATCAGCACTGCTTAACTTTAGAACATTCCTTAAAGATTCATGTGTTATGTGCTGTAAGTACTTATGTTGTTTGGATGTGAAGATTCAAGTTTTTATTGTGAATTGAGAGAAAGTTTACAGGGCAAATCATGAGTTCTACATTCAACAAATCATACACTTTGTTTCATTACAATGGTTATATTCCCCTCCATGTACCATCATTTAACAGTATTTCTCTCTATTCATTTTAGCTCTCTTTTTTTCCCTAAACATTCACATATATTTAATAATATCAAAAGGCACATTATACAAGTCTGCCTCTTGGTCACCAGCTCTCAGTGCCCCTCTTTCCATGAATCTAGAGTTCTCAGCTGCTCCCCCTCTCCATGCTGCCATCTCTGCCTCCTGTCGCTGTTTCCCTGGAAGGGTCCCGCATTCCACTTGTGCTCATCTCCCTTGATGGTCCTAGGGTCCTCTTGTTTCTGGACTGTAAGATTAACTACTCCCCTGTTTTTGTTACAGAACTTCTACCTTTATAATTGTAACAGTCACAATTAGTCATGATGACAATTACTCACTATTGAATCATAACAATGCTATTCCCACCTCTTTAACCAAACCCTTCTAGACAAGATGAAAACTATTCAGTAAGGACTCCATCTTTTCCCACTCACTCTTTTTTTTTTTTAATGTTTTATTGTGAATTACATGATAGTTTACATGGGGAACTTTAGTTTTACATTCATTCCATCGTATATCATCTCATTGCCATGGTTCCAATCCCCTCCATGCATCATCAACCACCCAAAGGGTATATCCCAGAAACACACCCCCTACACTTCCCCCTCCTCCCCCTGTTTTCGGCCCACGGTCCCTTTCCTTCTCTGGGTCCAAAGTCCCCAGTCACTTCATCACTCCACATCATCATCTCTGCCTCCATCTCAGGCATCTCTGTTTCTCTGGGTAGGGTCCCGCTCTTGGCTCTTCTCCGTTGATGGTCCCAGAGGTCTCCGCTCCTATCCTGGAGATTTAATCACTGCCTTCCTTGTTACAAAACTTCTACCTTTGCATTTCCAACCCTCATAGTCCATCCTGGAGCAGGTTTGATCCTTGATATGAAGAATCCTTTTATTTTGGTTAGTATTTTGACCAACTACATCCATAAGCAAAGGTCCAGTTCATCAAATTGTAGAAACTTATGCTCGCTTCCTGTATCAAACGTCTTTATCTTCTTTTTAAGTTATGATCAGCAAACCATGCAAGTTGGTCAAATGGGTACTGTCTGTAAGTTTGGGCATTCTTTCATGCCTTGCCCCATTGCATTTCAGACCAGCTGGCTGCTTCGCTCTTAGCTCTAGCGCCCAATGTCTAGGTCAGTGTCCATTGGCTTGGGAGTCCCCAAGTCTCCGTATAATTCAGTAAGTTCTGCTTTTTCAAGAGATAAAATTTAAGGCATTTTTATGGGAAAGGAAGTGGATAATTAGAAAAATTACATGCTGTCTCTTGCTCAGAGTGGTTAATGTTTTCAAGTAAGTTTTAAGGCACTGTGTTTTAATATTTTAAACTGAGAATAAAAAATTATTAAAAACAAGCATTGACAATAATAACTGATCTGCTGAAAGGTTCTTAATTGATATAGGTGTTTTATTGTGTCCAGACTGTATGAATACTATGATTTATGGTAAACATATAAGGGAAGCTTCAAAAACTTTGTGAGAAAATGGAATTAAAAGGTAAAAATTAAAAAAATATAAACTTTATTTATCAACATAAACTCCATCAAGGTCAGCACACTTTTGTAAGTGATGATACTAGCCATTGAATTCATCCCTAAAGAACTGAAGGCCCTGGGAATGTAACCATTTCTTTTTTTT